AATCATACACCCTATCCGCTTCTATAAATTTCTTGAGAATTGCAACATCATCCGAGCATTTCATCTCAAACACACGGTAATAATCAAGTTCCTACCATAGGGTTTGCAGAGTGTTAGCATACTCTGTAACAGTTTTGTCCCCTTGCTTCATAGCCCCGATCATGATCTTGATCTCATAAATCTGCGCCGCATCACGAGCCTTTGAGTATGTGCGATGGATAAAGTCCCATATCTCTTTTGTACTGCTCAAAAACATGCAAGTATCACTAATGGTTGGTTCCATAGAATCCCATAGCCAAGACATAATTATTGAATCTTCTTCATCCCATGCAGCAAATCCTGGATCTGTCTTCCCTAGTCCGGTTCCAAGCAAGTGGCTGAGTTTTCCCTTGCCCTTGAGATAAGTACAAACAACTTGTGACCATTTGAGAAAATTCTTTCCATTAAACCGGTATGACATCCTAATATTCTGCAGATCTCTAGTTTTCTGGGCGGCAGAAACATCCTCGGATGAAGAGGTGCTGGTGGACTTGATTTCAGTGGTGGACATGATGAAGGAACGAAAAAGAAAAACTAGGATGAAGATGGCTCGACAGTGATGAAGATGAATCTAGGTTGCACTCTCAGCAAACCCTAGCAAAGAAAGACGGCAAACCCTAGAAGTAGAAGAATAACCGGCGGCAATAAAGGCACACCGAAAGGAATGGCAATGAAGGCCTATCAAAGAAAATCAGAAATTCCCAGAAAAAAAAGCCCTAGGGCTCTGATACCATGACACAATTAATGATGGGAATAATTGTATTTATACTCTTGATGTTACACGGCTATATATAGAAGATTACAAGAGAAAAGAAGGGAAATTGAATCAAGTAAAATCAGGGAACTAAAGCAGGAAAGTTGACTAACGAAATCCCTTAAATTAAGGGATTTTAATTAATTCTCCTATTCTAATATCTACACTTCGACAATAACAAAAATCTCTACTTTGTTTTATCGAAATATTGTGTTCCGCCCTAGTGCTACATGTATCCCCTATGTTTAACAAATTGTGTGACAATTATCTCTTACATCTGACATATGGTGTCAAAAACATATAGAACAAATACAACATTTCTGAAAACATAAAGTATAACATAACATTTTTCGACGAAACACAGGGGAGGTTTTTATAATTATCCCTTAGAACTATGTGCATGTATGTGTATGTTTATATCTATATCTATTTTTATCTATATATATATATATATATATTCTGTTGTTATGGTGGTGCAGAAGGAACAACTCTCAGATTCATACAGAGAATTCTTGACCCTTTACAACAGACTCTTTCTGATGGGTGTCACCTCACAAGGGAAACTGGAAAGCACATATCAGAAGCTGGGTTTTCAGATCTCAAGCTTAGCACGGCTTTCTTATCTAATGCCTCACTTATAAACCCTCATATCTACGGAGTAGCTTGCAAGTAAACGCCACAATTAACATGGATAGATTTTTCTCTTTTGGAGGCAATAATTAGCATGTGTATATTAAAATCCAATGTTTTAATATATCTTCACAAAAAAAGTACATGGCCAATGATAATTAACAATAATAATTGTTATTATTGTTATTATTTTTTTTTTTATGACATAAGGTATATTTGGACCATTGTAAATATAGTTATGGGATGGCAAAAGTTGGTGGAAAAAAACTAATTATACTAGGCGTTTTTTGTCCATTACAGAAAGGCAAAGTCTGAGAAAATGTTTTGTTCCTTTTCTTGTCCTTAAGCCATCAAACAAGTTGAATGAATCATGGAATATCTCAGGACAAAAAAAGAGTAGACAAAGGTTTGTGGGGTTTATAATGTCTTGTGTTTCCTTTCATGGGTTGGCTCTAGAAGTGTGTTATATATTCTTCTAGGGGCTTATTTATATTCTGCTTTTAAACAAAAAGGAATACTTTTATGTTTGAACCTGAGAAACGCCTAACTAGAGAATCTTCCACAAATATGATATTATTTCAAGGCATTATTTTGGTATTTCTGTCACTTATGGTCTTCTTATTTTAAGGTCCCCGAGGACATCATTATTTGGCTTGTGAACCTTGTTGATGATTAGGCGCTTGAAGACAACGTTTGACCTGACAACTGATATTGCCTGATCCCAAAATGCTTTTCTTTTTCTTTCTTTTTTTTTTTGTTTTTTTGTTTTTTGCTCTTTAATAAGATCAAAACAATTTTTTTGCTCTGATTTATCAAATCAAATTTTTGAGTTCTTAGTGTCGGCATAGTGGAAGTTTCTAATCCAGATAATAATTCTGTAACGATTATTTTGCAATGAATATTGTCTAGAGTTGGTGGGTTTTGCATGATTGTTAGTTTGATGATATGTGCAACTCGCTGCATTTAAAATCCAATATAAATCCAAGAGAGAAGGAGGAAAATAGGTTAAGATTTTAGATGAATTAAAATTAATAGGTCAATAGTTTACATAAGTTAATAAATAAGTCAAATTACCATTTTCGTTCATAATTTGTCTCGTTATGAACTATAACTTGATAAGTTATTGTCCATAACTTATCTGGTTATGGACCATAACTTGACAAGTTTGTCTATAATTTATCTGGTTATGAACCTTAACTTGACAAGTTTGTCCATAACTTATCTGGTTATGAACTATAACTTGACAAGTTATGACCTATTAATTTCTATAACTAAAAATTGGCCAATATACTTTCTTAAGCTTTTCATATTGACATATTTCCTACTATTTCCGTAAATCCAACTTAACTTAGGCTGTGGGCTCCCAAAATGCCTTTCTGTGTTTTTATCATTTGGTTAGTGATAATCAAGTTTGCCGTGTTAGTTTAATTAGAATTCAAATACAACATATTACAACTAATGAATTTCAGCATAATTTCACGCGTGACTCTATTATAAAATGTAGAGTTTAAATTTCCCGCTTAAGTTGAAAAAAAAAGTCCTATGCTATGTGCACATAATTTTTTTAACAGATAAATTTCCTACTTTCAAAAAGAGCCTCTTGATCTAATAGCAAAAAGTAACATAAAATGCCAAGAACAATGAACAAATAGAAAGAAAAAAAATAAGCTATATTACTGTTTAAAAAATTTAGTCCATAGTCTTGTGTTGAATATATACAAAGAAAAAGAAAAAAAGAATTTTAAAAAGGATTGAGATTTTGGTCAGCTCACTATAATATTGACGTATAGATACCAATGATTAGTTATTGTCTATCCATGAGATCAAGAGATGAATGATTCAAATGTTTCAATTTCAGTCACTATCATCATCAATAAAACGTTAATGATTTAATAACTAAATTTTGCAGAAGAAAAAAACTAGAGCTACAAAGTTTATTTTTCTAGATTTGCATGCAAAAAAAAAAAAAAAAAGGAAAAAAAAAAGAAAAAAGAAAAATGGTACCACTAAATTAAACCTATGGCTTTGGATGTGGTCCTCAAAAGATGAACAAAAAGTTTGTTATGGAAAACGACATGAATTGTCTGATGTGGGATGGCATAAATGGAATTACCCAAAACAAGGAGGATCTCTCTGCAAAAAGCTTCCCCAAAATTTGTTGTTCCCTTCTTCTCTCTCTCTCTTTCTACTCGATCGTTTTTTCTTCACTTCAAGTGATATAATTAGGGTTTTCTTCTGCTCTCTGGGGACAGCCAATCGCCAGAACAGAGAAGAGCACTTCGTCAAACGATGTCGTTTCACCTCGTGCCTCTCCTTCGCGTAAACGGTACTCTTCTCTTTCTTTATTTCTCTCTCTAGTTTGTTGCTTTTAGAAGTTTTGAGCATTCCTAATTGTTCGAATAAGCAGTTTCTTCTCGTCTTCTAGTTTTGCCTGTTTTCAGCTTTTTTTTTTTAATACTTTTTAAGGAAGGAGATTGTGCTTTTTGTTGTTGAATTTTAAGTTCAATTTGGTTTATTACGAAAATCTTTACTGTTTAGGCCATACAGAGATCATTTTTTTTTTTTCTTTGGCTTATCATGCTTGAAGTTTTAAGTTTAAATTGGATTTACGGTGCTTGGGGCAAACAGAAAAAAATAATAATAAAGGAAATAAATAAAAAAACCTTATTCCAGTCTTTTTTGTTAAGCCTCATTGATTTTCTTTTAGGTCACGATTTTTATGGATTCATAATCATGATGGGGTTTTTTTATGTGGATATAAAGTTGTTAAATTTACGGATCTTGTTACCTAAAAAAAAAAAGTTTCTTGTTTGAATGACGGTAAGTACTGTTAAATAATATAAGCTCATACATTCGTATTTGTTCTCATGGTAGGTTTACTAACCAGATTGAATTTCTGGAAAAGATTTAATTTGGTGAAATTCTTTGGAGAGATGGGCAGATTTTGTACCATGTGATGCTAGTGGTGATGGAGAGTTGTTGATTTGTTAATCCCTCTTACACCACTTAATTGCCCGTTTCGAATGCGAACTTATTTGAAAGTGTAGATTGTGGTGTTATTCTTGAAGCAAGACTTTTTCGAAGTTCAGATCTCGCATAATCCCCGTATTTTTGTATAATGTGGTTTTAGCAGACGTATGACATAAGCTAGTTTTACAAATATAATGTTGGTGTTCTCTTAAGTAATGTAATCTATCAATGCTGGTCAGTGGTGAACTTTGTCGAGGTATAAGCAAGCGGAATTGGTCTTCGTGAGTTTAACAAAAAAATAGCTAAAACGGGGTCGCTTTGTTGTGTGGCCGCGAGGCCACATGGATCTCATACAACCAGTAGGGACTGGTCAGTGGGTCCACATGAGCCGTACTGGCAGACTAATTCAAGCTTCTCACCACCCCCAGCAAGATGGGATTTCCAGTTCCAAACTGAAGGACTGCAATATGGTCCGCACGATGGCATTCCACCGTATGGGTCTTCTACATCATCAAACAGTAAAGAGAGTCGGAGCTGGGTGAGAGGCAACCAACTTTATAATCATCACTACGCATCTGATGGTGCTGGGATGTTTTTGAGTAGTTCGTCTGACCTTTCTCAAGGTCCTCAATGGACACCTCCTGCAATACAGGAAATCAGAGTTGATGATTTTGAATCTGCACAGAGGAGAGGTAAATCCGATCTGCATTGCATTGTTTCACCGTTTCCTTACGTTACACATGCACAAATACGTGAGTACTCCTGTATTTTGAGGTTAATAATTGGTTTTGACACTGTGATATGGGTTTCAAAGTAGAACTTCTGTGAAGTTTTCTGTATATTCTTTATCAGTACTTTAGCTATTAAATTTATTCTGCTAAGTATTATATATGTTTATTTATCCCATGTCAATTATCATGAATGTTGTATACGTTATGAACATACTAACCTCTTGTCTGCCTGCTTAAATCTCGAGGTAATAATAATATATATGTTTTGCCGAATGGATTTAATGTGCTTTATCATTTTTCCCTTGCTCTCATGAAAGGTGAAATTTTATATAACTCATATGTGCAAAAATATAGAATATACATTTATTACAATCCGCATAATTGTTGCATAACCACTGAGAGTGCACGGTTTAGTAGAAGTCCACATGGTACCGGTTTACTGATGAGGACCAGAAGGATAGCTAAATACTGAATTTGGTGTATTTCGGTTACCCATATGAGTTATATTTTTAGAGTTATATATATTAGATATTTTGTTCCTAATTGAAAAATGTGACCATTTAAATCTTTTCGGAAACTGTTTGGACGATGAATCTTAAATTTGAAAAGGCTATGGAAAGGAGAAAATAAATTTTTTGCCTCAATTTGTCATTTCTATTTAAAAAGCTAGGATAGGTTGTTCTTTTTTCGTTGTGCAAGGGCTTGATGAGAAGTGGCAGGGTTTTGAAACTTTTAGCTCTGTAATTCCTGCGGGTTTTCTGTAGGATTCCAAATCATTGAAGCCCAAAATTGATTAATTCATGGCATCATAGTACAGGCCTTGTTATGGGTATTGTTTGAGGATTTTCTTCGACTATCCGACGTGTGAAGTCCTGCCTCCAAATGCCATGACATTTTTCTATGCTTTTTGAATCTTGTGTCTTCCTTGGTATCCACCATATATTTTGATTGCAGTCAGTACGGTGATAATTCACTGTTGGCGTCTCTCACTTCAATGTTTAATATGCAACGGCTATTCCTGAATCAGCTTCCGAGTTCCTCTGACAAAGAAAATGCAACTTCTTGTTGAGATTCTAAGAAGATAAAAAATCTAACCTGTTAATGTCATTGTTCTTCGTTTCTACTATTCACACAGTTTATTGACGGAAAGTTCTTTCTGTATTTCTGACTTGCTAGGTATGACTTTGGGTCCACCATCTTTTAAAACTAACATGGAGGTACTTCATCGTTTCAAAGCTTTCTTAGCTTAAACTGAAATAGAATTCTTCGACCGAGTCGTATCTTACATTGATTAAATTCTGCAGGGAACCTCAGAAAATCCAGATAGTGGGGGCTCCACTTCATTCCGATCAGACAGTAGTGAGTCTGAACCCAAATCACGTTCATCCTCGCATCGTACCTTCTCAAGTCGCCGCTCTTTTATGTCTAAACCTATACATCCCTTGTCCTTCCCAAGACAAACCTCTCCAGGAGAGGTTTCTGACATTGCAGTTGCTGGGTTGCCAGAGTTTGATGCCTCCGCTCAAAGGGATGCACACAGCTGGAGCAGTGCTAGCAGCAGCCTTGATTTTGCTGATGTTTCTGAGACTTTTGAATCAGAAACATGCAATCGGTCATGTAATCCATCAGATGGTCTTAGATGCGGTTTGTGTGAAAGGCTTCTTTCCCAGAGATCGCCTTGGAGTTCTCGTCGGATAGTGAGAAGTGGAGACATGCCAGTTACCGGGGTTCTTTCTTGTTGTCACGTTTTTCATGCAGAATGCTTGGAACAAACAACACCCAAGATGCGTAGGAACGACCCTCCCTGTCCCCTATGTGCCAGATTGGAGGAGGAAAACTGCCCTGAACAGAGAAGCTGTTCAAGATCAAGGAATAGTTTCCCAAGGCTTAAACCATTTAATGAGGACGGACCATCAAGGCCTTGGGGTTGTGTGCAGGTGGGAGATTGTGTTGAAGGTGCTTTGCATGTGCCGCCCCGCAATTCTATGCTTTTACTCAACAGGAGCCGCATTAAAAAGAATCTTTCCTTGAAGGGCAATTCGAGCAAAGAGTTTCCAGGTAAGTTAAAGAAAAGCGGTTCCTATTCCTCGCAGCAATTTAATGTAAGATCGATCGATCAAGGAGCGATTGGTTGTTCAAAGTCGAAGAGTATAACGGGGCCGATCATGAAGAGCTGAAGGAAATATGTAGATAAGTTTGGAATATGAACCTTTGCTCTTTCAGAGCCATTTTCCTCACACTCGTTCTGTCTACTTGCTTGCAAATCCCAGTTTAAACGAGTAGATTCTTTGACAATGTGATTGGATAACCTGGTTATGTTGTATAGATTTCATTGTGTGAACTATGGGTTGGAAAGTAAACAATTACATCTTCAAATTTTTGTTTTTGTTTGTGGAATGTGGATGGAAATAACTATATTGCGTTATTATTCTTTGTTGGATTATTTTCATAAACTCTCCCCGAATTTTGTACCCTATTTCAACCCTGATTTTTTAAAATCGTTCATTATGTCCCTTGATATATAAAAAAAACGGGTTTAAAACACCTCCTTTCAAAATCCGTCTCTAATTGTAACGGATTGTTAACGGGGCATATCTTAAAAAGTTAACTAAAGCTATTTAATTCAAATTAGTTATATAAAAATGATTATATTAAAAAAACAATAAAAAAGGAATTAAAGAAAAAATTCAAGGCTAATTTAATTCGTTAATTTGAGTTAAGATGTGATTTTATATGAAAATTTTTTATTATAATAAAAAATTAAATATAACTGTTTATAAGAATTTTTTACTACAAAAAAATTTAAATTTTAAACTCGAATCGATTAAATGATGGATATTAATATCCATTGCCTCCAAATTTTCAAATTCCTAAGTCCCAACCTCCGCCCAACGCCGACGAACTTCCGACAAGCCTTCAGCCTGGCGAACTTTTGACTCGCCTTCAGCCCCGCAGACCCCAGCGCCTCCACACCCTGCCTCAGACCTGCACGAACACCGACAAAATCAACACGTCAGCTGCGACAACGCGACATTCTCCCGTGGAGCGTTCGCGAAGAAGAAGACGGCATTCTCTGCCATCACCCAGTTGCGACCCAGATCCGTCCTTTGCTGTTGCGCCACTGTGCTAGATCTCCCATTTCCCTGGCATCCCCCGAGAGCCGATGTCAAGATGCCATTGTTGAGCTTGATATCTGAGTGTTTTGCAGGTCAATCTTGGAGCTCTCATTCTGTTGTGCTATCAGAAAAATCCCTAAGCAGCTTGATTTTCCAATTGAGATTAATGTTTGAAGTTTCCGATTAAATTGTTTTTTTTTTTGGGTGATTTGTTCCAATTGAATTGTCGTCACTGTAACTCATTGATTCTTGATTATGTTTCAATATACTAGTGACTTTTTTCTTTTCTTTATACTAAAATATACTCGTGTTAATGTTTTCTCTCTACAAATATACCAGTGTTAATTTTTTTTTTCTTTTTGCTGAATATACTAGTGTTAATTGATATGAGGAACTTGGGTCTAGTTTCCTCGCTGTGGGATTTTTTTCCTTTTGAAAATTGATATGTTTTTTTATCTTTATGTTCATAAGTATTTTATTAATTTTTTAGTAATTAATCTTATTTTTTAGCTTAATTAAGTTTAATTTTTAAAATTAATGTCATGTCAGTATAATCCGTTAGTGTTATAGACAGACTAAGATGAAAGGGATATTTTAAAATGTTTTCTATAAATCAGGAGTGTAATGAATCATTTTGAAAAGTCATTGGCCATTTTGAAATATGATACATAGTTTAGGAGGATTTATAAAAATAATCCTTCTTTGTTCTTACCTTGTCAAACGTGCAAAGAGGCTTGGTGCAATTCGTCCAAATATTATTGTTTAAACTTTGCTTTGGCACAATGTAAATCCATTGCATTGTACAACTATTAGTATTTAAGATTAGTTAAGTGAAAGTATGAAAACCATAAACGACATAATCGAATGTTTGATGGTAGATATAGACATTTCTATTGAAAGTATGCTTATATTTCACAGGTAAATTGTTTATACGGAGAAAACCATTAAGAGTCATTCGTTTCACTTGTTTGAATTGAGAATTTGAGTTAAAGAGGAAAAATATTGTAGTAGAAAAAATTAAGTTTAAATTTTTGTGAGATAAAATATTGTAGTAAAAATTTGAGTTGTAATTTAGACTACGAAAATGAACGGAACTTTTCATAAAAATGATATCTGGACACCAACTTTGCAAGCGTAATATTACTCTAATTCAATCCTACTGAAGGGGTTAAATCTCTTCATGGTCCTCTTTCTCTGACTGGGGTTGTGGAGCTAATGCAAAACAGTGTTTCATTTTTGCCCTCTCGTTTCATTTGAAATCGCTCCATAACAAGACATTGGGATTCAAAGATATTTCCATGCCCTTTGGTCCATTTCAGTAAGATTTATCTTCTTGTTATTTGTTCATTCGTTCATTTTTAATATGACTACGTAGACACATTTTTGCCCTTAAAGTATAAATGGCAGACAAAATTTATGATTGGATATTTATACACGTGGTATAATTTCTGTCTTGTAAGATAAATCCCAAACCATACCAATAATGGTTACTTCAAAAATTGAAGTAAGATATTGATCGACGACGGTTGTAATAAATTAGATAGTTAATTAAAAAATTTATGATAATTAATGAGATTAGATTCTTATTATGCCATGTTATCAAATTTCAATATATTAATATTAAGATGCAAAAGAAAAGGCAAGTGCAATGTCTAAATGCATGGCTTAATGTGTCACCCTTTTATTCATGAATTGAGTGGTTAAGGATGTGTTTGAAGTAAGGATTCGTGTTATGGTTCGGATCATGATTCGTAATTTGTTATAGTATTTTCTCTATAAAAAAAATACACGTAAACTGAGAATAGTTTTGAGTCATTTTCTAAGAGTACTTTACATGTATAATTAAAGGTGCTAATTTCCTTTGTGTTGCATTTTTCTCGGTGATCAAATCAGTGTTAGAGATAAGACCTATTATTGACCACGTACGTGTTCGCTTTTTTTGTTATAATTTTTCTTACCCTATATATTTCCTACTTAAATTTCTGCTATTAGATATTTAGATGGCTACAACAAAAGCAGATTTTCCAAATAAATAGATAGATAAATAAATAAATAAAACACAGAAACGAAAGGAGTATTAGTAGATCCTTCAGAAAAGAAAGAAAAGGAGTTTTAGTAGAAGACGAGTAAGTTATGTATTATTATACATTTAAGCTTTTTGATGCGTGTATGTTAATATATGAGTCGACGCAATTTTACCTGACAAATACCGATTGATTTTATTGCATGTACATACAATCACTTGTTAATCCAAGAAGTTAGAGGATGACTTTTTTTTTTTTTACCTTCCCTTTTCTCAAAATGTTTTCAGGTTCGAATTTTGACAACCGTAATATAAAAGGTATTGCATAACCAATGGCCGTCTAATTTGAAATTTTTAAATTGAATTAGATCGGATCGAAACACACTGTTATTTATTTATTTAAAAAAATAAAGACCATAGAGAAGAGCATAAAAATGACACCAATAATTCTCATTTTTTTTAACCAAAAAATTAAAAAAAAAAAATCACCCGCGTATCCGAGAATCCGAGATTGGAAATCGATTTTTAACCAGAGCAAACAGAGAATTACCATAAAAGAAAGCAGAAGGAAAATTCCGACAAGAAAGTTACTAAACAATGTCAAATGCAATGCAACCATATCCATCATTTTCTTAAGGTGTGAAAATTCTTGGGGAGGGAGGAAAATAACTGAGAGGACGTTTGGTTTATGTATTCAGAACTATTCTCGTTTTATGTGTATTTTTTTTAAAAAAAATACTGTAAAAAATCATGAATCATAATTCAAATTCGGGGACGAATATAAGAAACAAACGTTAAATTATTTTAAAATGCCTGGTCCCCATATACACTGACATAAGTACAAACTGCAGTGCACTATCAAAATCAGTACTATACTCCTCTGTATCTATACAAATTGCATAAAACGAGAGGGTATATATATATATATATATATATATATATATATCTGCATTATTGTAAATACGCTACAGTGCAAGGCTTACATCAGTTCACAGGTACTTATCGTCCCTTACATATGGGCCAACTTGTGTACTGGATAATATGTGAGCTTCCCTTCCACACACACACACACACACACACACAAAAAGGATTGAGGAATATCAATTACAACATTGATAGCCCAATTTTCCTTGGGCTGTACAAAAGGGGACCATATTCTTCATCTTCTTTCGTATTCCCCCCACAATCATGTGCACTGTTGGCATTACCATAGACAATTTTCACATTGTACCTTCAACATGGATCCTTTGCCGGATGTTTGTTTCTACTTGCAACCACAAACTGAGTTTTTTTTTTAACAATTGGGCCCTTTCGGAACCAATAATATCCCTTGTTCTTTTCCCACTAGCCATGTTCTTTAATCTCATCCTCTTCATTTTCCATCAATTTTCCCACATTGAGATAAAAACCTCCTATTCCAATTAGATTTAGTCATATTTGCGATGGAGACTTCCCATTAAAGTGTCATCACTATGGTTTGATTTTTTTTTTTCTTTTCCCCCCTTTCCTTCTTTTCTTTCGGTTCTCTTTTTGCTCTTTTTTCTAATTAAAGTGACAATGAGGGATTTGTTTTGTCCAACCTTTCAATTATAAGATAATGTGGTCAAGCTCTTGAAATTCAAGAGATAAAAAATCAACAAATTTAGGCTACTTGGAAAATATAATACAACAGTTGCTGATTTAACCTAACGATAATTCTACAAAGCCATGCGTTGTTAAAGTTTCGAGTACAAATTTCTCAACTCTAATTTTTTTATTTTAGAAAAATGGAATAAAGAAAAGAGGATATAGAAGTTCTCTCTCTCTCTCTCTCTCTCTCTCTCTCTCGTTTGTGGGCAGCAACATCATGTTATATCTACTATTATCCATAACCTTTGCATTTGGTAGCCCACAACTGGAAAGTGGTGTCCCTATTAGACTAGTCTACTTAGTGGCTAAACCATTCACACAACAATGAAATGACACTCAAATCTTCACATGCTATCGCGTCTCACATGGCATGTTACTTAGCTTTTATAGACCGAGAAAGTAAAAAACTTTGCCGTCAGAAATTTAAACTAAAGTTTGGAGCACAAATGCTAAACGACATCAAAGTTACATGTATAAAAAAGTTTTGGTATCTTAATCATGATGGTAAGAGAAAAATTGACGAGATCATACACATCGATTACTTTTATATATTGATATTTATATACTTTGGCCAACTGTAATTCGAATTGACCTCCTCTTTGCCAAAA